TCGTCCACAAGTGGGTGGTCCCGGCAGAGGTGGGGGTGCCTTGCTCGGCCCCCACCAGCTATCCTCTGCCCCCTCCTGGGTCTCCCCCACCTGGAAACTTGCCCTGCAGCCCACCAGGGGCCAAGGGCTCCTAAGTAGCTCCCCCTTTGGTGCGGGGCGCCCAGGGTAGGCAGTGGCCTTGGGACTGGGCCCGAACTCGCTGCCCATGGGATGTCGCGAGGTGGCGGGGGACGGGCGGGGGGGGGTCAGCCATGCTGTGTGGCCCAGGTCTGCGGCCCTTCATCCCTGAGAAGGACGGCCAGCACTTTGAGAACTTCCTGGAGACCATCGGGGTGAAGGACGGCCGTGGCATCATCACCGACAGCTTCGGCCGGTACCGGCGGGCCACGAGCTCCACGTCCACCTCCACCTCCAATGGGAACAGGGCGGCGGGCAGCTCGGATGACCAGTCCGTGCCCTCGGAGGGAGACGAGTGGGACCGCATGATCTCGGACATTAGCAACGACATCGAGGCCCTGGGCTGCAGCCTGGACCAGGACTCAGCCTGACCACTGCGGGGGGCCCTCTACTGTGAAGGAGACAGGGGCGGGTGTCCCGTGGCCGGGCCCCGCACAGCTGTCGGTTTTGCACATGACGTTCCTGTCAACCCTCAGAGACCTTTAAAGACGTTTACTGCAATGTGACCCGCTCACCTCTGCTGCCACTGTGTCTGGTCCTCGCCATCCGGGGCCCACGCTCCCGGGGCTGGCACGGCGGTCAGGGCCGCCCTAGGCCGATGCTGCCCAGCCTTGGCCCTGGGAGGCTAGAGCAGGGCTTTCCCTGCCTGGACGTGGGGCTGGGAGCAGGTGGCCTGGCACCTGTGGGTGAGCCCGGCCTGTCGGGACCCAGACACTGGCCACTCTGAGGGGCGCTGGCTCTCTTCTGGCCCCTTGCCCAATCCCTGAGTCCCCAGGTCTCACCTGCCACTGCGGGTGGTCTCCACAGCAAACCCTGTGTCCACTTTCCCACTGTGTCCCCAACCAGAAGTGCCGTCTCCAGCCTGAGGGCACGTCACCTTGGAGCCTGGGTTCCCACGGGGCCTCTGTGCCCTCACCTATCCCCCAGAAGCCCCGTGGCTTCAGCCTCGCCCGTGCCCGTGCACGTGGAGAGGCAGCTGGGGTATGCCCAGGGTGCAGCCTGGAGGCCGTGGGGCAGGCATGGGGAGGCCCAGCCCCAAGACGCCCCCTCAGAAGGCGCCTCCGCCCTGGGAGACCCTGACCGGGTGGGCAGGATGCCTCGGGGAGGGAGGACATGGCACCCCACTGTGGGGCGCCCACTGTGGGTCTCTTGTTTGGAGGAGAGGACGTGGAGAGGATGGGCCGCCTCGACCTGGAGCGCAGGCTGCCGTCCCGCAGCTTCCCCAGCCCTGGTTCCGTGGGGACTTCCTTAAGGAACTTCAGTCCCCCGGCCCACACCTGGGGCCATAGCCAAGTGACCAGACTGCCTGCAATCTCTGGGCAAGTCGGGTGCCTCCAGATCATGGGGGAGGGCCACCACCCTCTGGGACACAGGGAGGACCACCATCGTCCTTGGGTGTCTTGTGGCTCCCGAAAGCCGCCTCACACCTCACATCCCGTTTGGCCAGGGGCTGCATTTGGGGAGCAGTTGGAGCAGAAGCAGAGAGGCGGTGGGGACCCCCATTTATTGAGCACAGAGCTGGGAGGCAGGTGCAGCCAGGAGCTGGTCAGCAGCTACATCGTCAGCTCCTGCAGGAAATTCAGAGAGTCAGGCCAGGGATAGGGAGGGGCCCAGCGGAGCCAGCCGCAGGCGCAGGCGCAGGGGCAGCCACCCACCATGATGGCGTTGACGATATCGCTCTGGTTGTCCCTGAGGGCCCGCACGGCCTTGGCCCTGGACACGTTGGCCTGTGCCATCACCAGCTCAATGTCCCGAAGCTCCAGCCCCGCCTCGTCCACCTGCAAGGACAGACAGCAGGAGATGCTGGGGCTGCCCCTCCCCCGGCCAGGAGCCCGCGCCTCCGCCCCGGGCCCTCACCTCACCTCCTCGTCTTCCTCCCGGTTCTCGTCACATCCCAGTCTCACCCGCGGCCCGGGCGTCGACTCAGGGCCCAGGGTGGAGGGCTCTGCGGGCACCTTGAACTTCTCGGCGGCAGCTCTGTGCGCTTGCTGGGAGAGGTCCTCAATCTGCACGGGCATAGCTGTCAGCCCTGCTGGGCAGCCCACAGCCCGCCCCGCCCGGCCCCAGCCCGCCAACCTTGGCCTCCCCGAAGACCACGTAGGTGTCAGAGGCCGGGCTCTTGAAGACGTCAGGCTTGGTGATAACGAAGAGGATGTCCTTGGCCTTCTGGATGGCGATCCTGGTGACACCGTGGATCTGCCGCAAGCCCAGCTTGGACATGGCCTGGGGGGCGGCAGGCTCAGGCCTGGGTGCTCCCCGCCCTGGTTCCCCGCGGAGTGGGGGTGCTGGGTGGACCCTCCCAGGCCCCCAACCTTGTGTGCAGAGCAGGGTGTTGGACGCAGGCTGACTGGGCCCAGTTATTTCACAAGGTGTCTGGTCACTGTATGCCCCGCAAAGGCCCCACCGAGGGGGTGTATCGGCCATGGGTGGGTGGGGTGTTTGGCCAGCCCGGCCCCTCCCCCAAGGAGCAGGGCCCCGCCCACCTTCCGGGCCTTCTTCTCACTGCGGCTCTGCTTGGCTTTGGCCATGGTCTCCTCACTGCGGCCGGCCAGGGCCTGGGGAAGGGCGGGTCTGAGCACTGAGGATGGGCTGTGGGGGGTGGGCTGTGGGGCCCCGGGCGCACCTTCCCCCCGGCCAGCACCTGGGCCGGGCACTGTGTGGCCTGCGGTCCTGACAGGGCCTGCTCCTCCAGCTCAGCCGACGACTCCTCAAGGCTGTCCGAGGGCCCCCGGGGTGACTCTGGGGACAGGGGAGGCGTGAGGGCAGCCCCTGCCTTCTGGCTCTGCCGGGTCCGTGCGGGCCCCGCCCCCAGGCCCAGCCGCCTCCTGGGCCTTGCGAGGGCAGTGCTCCGGCCGCCCCTCACCTTCCTCCAGGCTGTCCCCGTCATCTTGTAGCTCGGCGGCCTGGAGGTCTCGAGGGCTGGACAGGCTCCAGGGCCCAGAGCCCGGAGGCACTTGGCGGGGGGACGGGGTCTGCAAGGCTGGGTCTTTGGTATAGGTGTCCCCCACAGGGGCCACCTCGGGGCTGAAGAGGGGTGGGTGGGGTTGGAGGCTGACCTGCTGTCCAGCCCTGGGGGGGTTTGTGGTTCCTGAGAAGGTGGCCATTGCCTGCTGGGTTCCTGCCTGTGGCGGTGGGGGGCCCAGGGTCTCCACTTCCTCCACTAAGTCTTCCTGGGGGCACTGGCAGGGGCAGGGGACTCGGGG